GCTTTCATCTACTTCATTGTTCTGACTATGGTGTTCTAGAGCCTCATACCTGTACATAAGGGTAGATGGGAAGGTGAAGTGGGCAGGGACAGGGCTCGCCTACCACCCTGAACAGGAACCTGCCTCCATTCTCCCCCCGGCCCCCACTGCTGACCAGACCCGAGCCAATAAGTGATGTTGTTTGAGCCTCTGTGAGAGCATATTTAAGACAGGGAAAAAAACGCTGCGCCACACAGCAGCTGGGAGAGTGAAGGGAGTGAGGAACAGCCTTGCAGGCGCCAAGGACAGTGAAGAAGGAGGGGGAGAGGTGCTCCAGGCGCTGGAGCAGAAGTCCCCTGCGGCCTGTGGTGAGGACCATGGTGAAGCAGGATGTCCCCCTGCAGCCCATGGAGTACCACGGTGGAGCAGGGTTCCACGCTGCAGCCCATGGAGGAGACCACGGTGGCCCTGCACTGACAGAGGCTGCCGCCTGTGGAAGACCCCTGCCAGAACAGATTCCGGGCCGGACCTATAGACCATGGAGAGAAGACCACGCAGGAGCAGGTGACCTGGCAGGAGCTGCTGCCCGTGGGGGACCCAGGTTGGAGCAGTTTTCTCCTGAGGGATGGACCCCGTGGTACAGACCCATATCTGGAGCAGTTCTGGAAGAGCTGCTGCCTGTGGGAAGCCCACGCCGGATCAGTTCATCAAGGACTGCATCCCGTGGGTGGGACCCCACAGCACAGGGGACGAGAGTGATCGAGAAGGAGTGGCAGAGAAGAAGCGCTGTAGACTGACCATAACCCCCATTCCTCCGCGCTGCTCGGGGGGGAGGAGGTGGAAGAGGGTGGATGGGGAGGGAAGGTGCTTTTGGTTTCTTTCCTTTGTTTCTCACTGTCCTGGTTTCAGTTAGAATTAATTTTCTTCCTAGTAGCTGGTGGAATGCTGTGTTTTGGCTTAGGATGAGAAGAGTGCTGATAACACCCCGATGCTTTAATTGTTGCAGAAAAATTATTATTTTTGTTATTATTATTTTCCTGTCTTATTGAACTGTCCTTATCTCAACTCACGGGCTTCACTTTCCATTTCTCTCCCCCGTCCCAGAGAGGGAGGGGGGAGGGTGAGCGAACGGCTGCGTGGTGTTTAGCTGCCGGCCGGGTTAAACCACGACAGTCTTTTTGGAAAAGGAGGAACGTTGCACCCCCATGCTGCGTCTCGAACCCGTGACCTCAGATCTCTCTCCACGCCGCGAGGTCAGGGTTATGCGAGCGCCTCAAGCCGGTGAGCCACCGCCGCCAAAAATAATAATAACAATAATAATAATAATAATACAATGGTGATAATACGAAAGTAATAATAATATGTACAAACAAGTGATGCACAATGCAATTGCTCACCACCTGCTGACCGATGCCCAGCCTAACCCCGAGCAGTCCGGCCCCCTCCCCCCGGCTAGCCACCCCTATATGTTGTTTAGCATGACGTCAGATGGTATGGAATACCCCTTTGGCTAGTTTGGGTCACCTGTCCTGGATCTGTCCCCTCCCAGCTCTTACTGCACCCCCAGCCTGCCCGTTGGCAGGACAGAGCAAAAGGCTGAGATGTCCTTGGATTAGTATAAGCACTGCTCTGCAACAATTAAAGCATCGGGGTGTTATCAGCACTCTTCTCATCCTAAGCCAAAATACAGCATTCCACCAGCTACTAGGAAGAAAATTAATTCTAACTGAAACCAGGACACTCACTTCTCTAGCTTGTTAGTAATAAGCAATAAATCTTACTATCTCCTTATGCCAAGTCTGTTTTGCCCGTTACAATAATTACTGCGTGATCTTCTCGTCCTTATCTCAACCTTTGAGCCCTTTTCATCATATTTTCTCCCCATTTCTCTTTGAGGTGGGGAATGAGAGAGCGGCTGTGGTGGAACTTGGCTGCAGTGGAGCTCAGCTGCCCACTCGAGCGGAACCACAACACCTAGGTTTCCTCCTGCTGCCTGGTGGGATGAGGGAACTTTTGTCTTCTGCGTAGCAGGAGGCACCTGTGCTGCGGCAGGCTCCTGAGTCTGTCTCAGAGATGGTAGAGTACACCCCCACCAGTCAGTTTTCCGCTCTGACTCCCTGATGCTCCTGAGCCTGCTCACCTCCTCCCGAAGCTCCACTACCTGGCTGAGCAGCTCTTCAACTTGGGCACACCTCCCACAGGCATACCCCTCGCTGCTGCTGTCAGATACCAACAGGAGACTCAGGCACACCCTGCAGCCCAAGACCTGGATGGCGGTGTGTTTTCCCGAGCCCTCCATCTGAGTAGTCACATCAGTGACTGTGGCTGGAGAGGCCGTAAGAGATGTGGAGGTCATGGCTTTCTGCCTAGATACCATGGCCAGGTTCCTCACAAGCAGGTTACAAGTACAGATGGGAAAGGCTGCTGTGAAAGAGTGGCAAGGTGCCCTGCCTGCACAAACTGACGCACCACACCCTTCTGACACACCACACCCTGGTCACTCATGCTCCCTAGGGGCTGCTTTTGAACAGCCATGGAGGGGGCACTGCTGGCTCTACCTACACCTTGTCAGCCTCCCTCACGAGGGCTGCCGGGTCCTGGCAGCTACCTCGGCTGCTTCAAGTGGCCTCGATGCCGGAAATAAAAGCCCTGCCCATCTCAATCCCCCGTTCCACTGCAGAACGCATCTGCCCTGGAGCTGATCGCCTCAGCAAGTGGATCGATTTATACATACAAGTAGGGCATGGAACAAGTCCACATCAGCTTGTATAGATTTCCCCCCCCCCCCCCCCCCCCCAACACAAGAGTTAAAAGCTACAGAAACAAAGAACAACCTACATTTTCACTATTTATTAACTCTGTCACCTCTGACAGACAACTGAACAATAATGCCAGTATTGGTGGCAGGTGTGGATACTTATAGGATTAGAAAGGCTTCAGACTACATTCTGAGAATGGCTTTCCTTAAGCATTTACCAGCTGTACCTCTCTCTTAATTTTAGGAGTTCTGGCTCTCAGGTTACACCTGGAAAACGAGATTCTACAGACCGCTGTCCCTGGGACCACGTGGAATTTGAATCTTTTCCATTGGGGGGGGGGGGGGGGGGGGGGGGGGGGGGAAGTCCTGAGATGCACAGGTTATTTTGTACTTAAAAACATGGAATGGGGTAAGGAGGGAGGGGAAGAAGAAGAATGGAACAAGCAGTAGCTGCCATAGAACAACAAGGCAGCATGGGGCAGAATTGGGCCACGCAAGCCAACTGCTACAAACCCTAGTCAGCTTCTGAACTGCAAGGAGCCTTGCAAGCACCAGTGCCTGCGTGCCAGGTGCTGACCAGGAGCTACAAGCAGGTGGTGCCACTGGAAATGCTGTACCAGACTAGATCTGCCCTACTCCTGAGACTGATGCCAGCATTTCCAGGCACGTGGAAGAATCCCCCACCATCCACTTGCTGTAGCAGTCCCTCGCATGCACACATTTTCACTATGAACTTCGTTAAAAAAAGAAACAAAAAAAAAAAACAAAAAAGACACAGAAACCCTGAATCATAGGGGGGAAAAATGAAAAACTTTAGCTGTGGTTTTTTTTTTTTTAAAAAAAAAAAAAAAAAAAAAAAAAAAGACGTGTGAAATTCCACTGTGAAACTTTCATAATTTTGGCAGATGAGGACGGGAAGGAAGCCTTCTTAAGCTTATTACCATTGGTGCATGATATAACATCTTACCCTGAGACAGCAGGGCTGGACTAAGTCACCTCTTCAGGTTCTGCCCACTCTGTGTCTCCACAAACATGCGCATAAGTACCATTTCCATCCCTCTACTATTACGGGATTTTATTAGGCATAAGAAATCCCAACTGCTTTAGGAAGTATTCAAGAGTTCTGTTTTTTTTTGGTCTGCCAATGACTTTTCTAAACTTGCTTGTCTCAATACTATGCCTGCTGCCTTCACCAGCAGGTATAACAGGGCCAGCCTCACCATGCTCAACAAAAACACACAGTAAGCATGCAACAAGTTCCCAGCATCTCATAGGGACAGTTCTCTTCCCATCACAAAGGTTACAGACTAAAATATCAAACCATAAAAAAAAAATAAAATAATCAGCCTGAAACTATTTCCATGATTTGTCACCAAAGCGTTTTCTTGTCACTGGGAGATAATCAGTTTGGAGACCAGCATAGTAAAGCCCTCCTGTTCACAAGCCAATTATTGTGTTCTCAGTTTTTATTTAGCTGATAAACATTAGTTGCCACAAAAAAACAAGGTACACACACCAACTCTAGACAGCCAACAGCTCAATACACCACAAGCCTCAGGAGCACCTTCAAGGCTAACATGAACCTGCCACTAACAGTCTTGCTCCCGCTGCCGGGAGATCTGTACAGGCATTTCAGTCAAGTCCATCATACCTCTCCAAGCAGTTCACCCCACACAACCAGGTGCTGGGATGGGATCTGCTTCCTCCAGGTGCCAACAGGAGCTGGTGCGTTGAAGCCACCTGCCTTGACCATGATGCCAACAGGTCATGAGCTTTGAGGAGGCAGGGAAGAAAGGGAAGAAAATGGGGAAGGAGAGAGGAAGGCAAGGAAGGAGGAGAGAAAGATGCAGGACCTTCACCAGGCAGGATGTAGGGCCAGACACCCACCCTAATGCTTGCACGTAGCTGGGACACGTGCCAGAAGCAAGCCCTTGGCCCCAGAGTAAGGCCAGCCACACACACGTAGGAAGCCATTGGCTACCAGGCAGCCAACTGGCAGCCCCCGGGGCTGGCCATACCTCCTTCCCACCCACCCACCCACCCACCGAGTGTAGGCGAGCCACAACCGGGGTGTGGGTAACCACATTTTGTGGTGGCCACCGCCCCCCATATCCTCTGCCATGACACAGCAGGGGACAGCCGCTATGTTACAGCCCCGAGGCCAGCCTCCACCCCCGCTTTCCTCTCCGTAACCCCAATCCCGTTGGAGAGATAGCAGCCAAGCGGGGACTCCCGCTCCACCACGTCCCCGCCCGCCGCTCACCAGTGGTTGCATCTCTGCGCGCACAGCAGGCACCTGGAACCGGTCTATCTCCTCCATCATGGTGACGGCAGGGAGGGAGGAAGAGCAGGAGGACACAGCAGAATAACAAAAACTCCCGACTCCTCGCTCACACACACACCAACGCCCACCGCAACCTCATCACCGCCGTGACCCAGCCACGCCGCTTCCGGGTTCACCACCGCCGTCGCCCCCTTCATTTGCATATTCATGAGAACGGGGCTGCAGTGGGCGGAGCCAGAGCGCGTAATAGCTCGGCAAGGGGAGATAGTTCGACTGCAGCGCTTTCGGCGCATTTCCATGGCTACTGGAGTCAACTTCCGGTGGAGGGGAGGCCGGGGTGGAGGGCTGCCATGCCGGCTAAGGCGGGTGACAGACAGCGGCAGGTAGGGGGCAGGGCGACGCCGCGAAGACGACACCAAACACGGACCCGTGACGTCACCCCCGCATCCCTAACGCTCCGTGCCCACATTCCCGTGTCCCCAGTCAGCAGCACCTCCGCTATGCCTCTGTCACTGTCACATCACAGCGTCAGAAAAAAAAAAAAAAACAAGAAGGAATGGGAGGACATGCTCCAGTTTCCGGAGATGAAGCCCTCCCACAGCCCATAGAGAGGCCCTTGGTGGAGGCTGTGTCATGTCCCTACCCCCTTGGGAAACTGACCAAACACCACAGCAAATATACCCAAACTTCTAGACTGTTACTTAGATAATGCCTACATCCTCTTTCCCTGCTCGTTCAACCTCAAACAGCTCTGTCAAACACTACATACCACAACTTTAACACCTTCAACAACCCTTTTAACACTTCTTTCTATCTTTCTCCAGCCTGTATTTTCACCAAAGGCTCCGTCAGGGACCAACTTAATTCCATACTTTTTTTTTTTCCCTCCAGGATGCTGAAAGAACATATCAGTATAACATATTTAATCACATTTTCTTTCTTTCCTCCTTCTTCCACTCCGGATACTCCTATTCGAAGTGGCCAACCTGACCACACTTAAAACATCTTATCAAAGCCCATCCCTGCTAGGATTCAGGCTGCAACACAGGTAGTTTTCCTTGCCTTCCATTCCTTCATCTCTCTTCCTCTCCTTTCCATCCTGGCCCTGACTCCCCCTGAAGATTTTCTTCCTTTCTCCAACCCTCTGCCTCACTGCCTGGTGCACTGTGAATACTATTAGTTTCGCTCTCTGTCTTTCCTTCTTATCTCCTCTCCTGACATAAACCTTCAGGGCCTCCCTCAGGCGGGCCCCCAGTGACTGTTCACTACATCCCCCCACCTTCTGGAGCTTTTTCTGTGTATCTGGCCAGGCTTTAATCACAAAATGAACTTTCAAGAGCCCTTGGGATACCAGGTCGTCAGGATTCATCCCCGAATACTTTCTCATTCTGACCCCAAGTCTCTCATATGATTTCTGTGTTGCACATTATTATTATTCCAGCCAGGATCGGCAAGTGGGTGCTCTGCTGGTATTACCCCTGGTCCTGGAGGATGAGCTCTTTCCCATTCTTGTATAGTAGCTCTCCTCCTGATCATTCCCCTTTTTTCCCCTATAAACAACATACTTAGTATAGACATCATTACCCCCCAAAAAAAAGTATAAGTTAGGTCCTAGGAACTGGTCTAATAGTTCAGCTAGCCTGATGGGGTCCTCAATTAAAGACTTCATCTCCTTCTTAAAACCCCTAACACCTCTCTGCCAGTAAGGAGAGGGGGTAGTTCACCTAAGAGGATACACAGTTAGTGTTAGTACTGTTAGTATCAGGGAAGGCAAAACTCTCAATCTCTCTTCTATCTTGTTCTAATTCTTAACAGAGCCTAGAGTACGCTCTTCTCTAGGGACAGTGTTAATTGCAGTCCCTGTCTCCCTTCCTGGAGTGACTGCTGCTGCCGCCGGTGCAATATTAGGATTATAGGGAGCATAATTTGGCTCCTTCTCCGAAAAAGGAATCTTATTGTTTACATATAAAGTTAAAGCCTGAGTTTTCATCAGACCCGTATTTTGGCCAAAATACTGCTGTTTCCTTAATCGGTTCTTTTGTCCAGACTGATGCACAATATTTTTATTCTTTTTCATTTTTTTTTTCATTTTCTTCTTTTATCATTTCCTCTTCTTTTGAGATTATGTTTCCAATTTCTTATAATTCTTCAGGAAGAACTATTGGTAGGCACTCCTCCAAGGATATCTCCCTGTCCCCTTGGAACTCATATTTCCCGTTTTTCCTAGCACATGTCAGTGTGCTGCTACAGAAATTGATCTTCTGCAGGGTATCACACACTAACGTTCCGATTCTGGAAAATGGGGGTGTACTGCCAAGCACTATACCGTGCAAGTGGTACCGTACACCAAATTTCTCGAGACTCTTCCTTTCTCTTTCTTATGTCACACTCTCTTATCTGTCTCTGGCCGCGCCACTTGCGGAGCTATGGAACTACGGATCTGTCCTGGTTTCAGCTAGTATAGAGTTAATATTCCTCCTAGTAGCTGGTAGGGTACTATGTTTTGGATTAGGATGAGAAGAATGCACAGGATGGCATCCAGGTGGGTTTTGAGTATCTCCAGAGAAGGAAATTCCACAACCTCTCTGGGCAACCTGTTCCAGTGCTCTGTCACCCTCACAGCGAAGTGCCCTCACAGCCCCTGAGAATCCAGCTTTCAGGCATCCTTACGCCATGCCAGCACTTAGCAAAGGGGGCTTCCTTACCAGGGCAGGAAGGAAGGAGGAAGTAAAACTATTTGATCGTTGTGGAGGGAGACAGGGGTTAGCATAGTTGGTCCAGAAGCACCCCAAAGCAACAACATCCAGAATGCATACCAGAATACCGTAATTGACCAGGGAAAGCTGAAGGTAAGAAAGAAGGACAGGCGTGAGGGCTCAGAGCTGTGAAGTGGTGGTTGAGATCCTGGGGCAAGACCCAGTGATCTGTGAGGGAGTCCTGACAGTGAGAGCTCTTTCAGGATGTGTGCAACAATAAGAGAACAGAAACCCTTTGTCCTAGTTTCAGTTAGGACAGAGTTAATTTTCCTCCTAGTAGCTGGTAGGGTGCTATGTTTTGGCTTAGGATGAGAAGAGTGCTGATAACACCCCGATGTTTTAATTGTTGCAGAGCAGTGCTTACACCAAGCCAAGGACGTCTCAGCTTCTTGCTCTGTCCTGCCAGCGGGCAGGCTAGGGGTGCAGCAGGATCTGGGAGGGGACAGACCCAGGACAGCTGACCCAAACTGGCCAAAGGGGTATTCCATACCATCTGACGTCATGCTAAACAATATATAGGGGTGTCAAGCTGGCTGGGGTGGGGGGACTGGCTGCTTGGGGATAGGCTGGGCATCGGTCAGCAGGTGGTGAGCAATTGAATTGTGCATCACTTGTTTCGTACACATTTTTATTAGTAGTACTATTATCATTATGAAACAGGGAACAAGATAAAGGAGGATGATTCCGTAGGTCTTAGCTAGCACAACTGTATATTAATGACCCCAAAGATAAAGGAGTAATGGACTGTATGCATAGATAATGGAACCAGCAAGAACTGGCTTGACTGCTGAAGTCTGTCAAAGACAAGAAAGGTCAGAAGTTTAGCAGCAAGGAAGACTTCTGGCCTTCTTAAAAAAAAAATCAGAGTACGCCAGTTGACCACCCAAGGACTCCAGTACGCATGAAAATAGTGGCAGGAACCTACCTTAATGATTCTTTGGAGACCTGATGAATTTGCAAGAGACTTATGGGAAATGAAATGAATATATATTTGTCCCACTAATATAAGCACACTGCCAGTAACCCTTGGTGTGCAAGCTAGGTGGAGCTATCCCCCTTGCGCCTGGCGTGTGTGTGCAGCGCTGTATAAACATACCTGCTTTATAACCATTCTGAGGTTATAGAGTCTGATTTCTGCAACTCAATTGGCACCCCAGGTGGGACACTCTCTGTCTAGCTGCGGGACCTGCTGAGGATGGGACTCCTCTGGGCACCCCCAAGAGTTCTCTGGAGGACTTCCCTACTCATTCAGATCACCACAGGGACAGACAAGGACCATCAAAGACGGACCAGGTGTGTTGTAAAATAAAGGGATACCTGTAAATTGTGAGGAGACGTCATACACGAGATAAAGAGTGCTGATGTTCGCACTAGGTTGGGAATTCCCATAAGGTAGTAGCAGGATATGTGGTGTATGGTATATTCTGTGGAATCCTATGAATAAGGCAGTAGCAGAATAAGGGCTGTACCCTGTGGCATGGTAACTTGGATTCTCCTGGCTATAATAGCAGGAGTTGTGTGCAGCATTGCCAAAAGTGTTGTCATCTGTTGTAAAAGTCTGGTACCGTATATTATGATTTGACTTAAAATGGTTGATAAGGATCTGAGGCAAACGGTTATTGGTTCATGATTTACGATACAAACGAGTTTGGTTATTGTTCTAAGTGATATATTATTGCGGTATGAATGAGAAGTGCTAGGGGCCTCTTTGTGTGATTGTGTGATTGTGCTGTGTGAATGAGACGCAGCATCGCTGAGAAGTGAGTGCGGAGTCTTGATCCGCAGTTGGCTATTCCGTGAGGAATATGGCCGGAGATGGACAAAGTGTCCATCAAAGTGTGAGATTGAGAAAAGGCACCATAATGGGAAGAATTTAGGGTACTATTGATAAAAAGACCCCTCTGGGTTGCATCTTTGCCCATTGGAAGGGCACTGGTGGGCCACCTGGACGAATTGTTGTGAGAAACACTCCGTAGCCAATAATTTAGGCTCAGGCGAGGATCTCAGTGAAGTAATAATTTATTTGCGATTCCAATGGCGGGCGCCCCACAAGCAGGAGAGAGCGCCTACTAGTTCCAAAATACAGTTTATATACTTTTTGATGGCAGGACCCTCCCCTGTTTCCCCACTGAGTGGGTAATCCAGGTTCACAATCTATCTGATTCTTCACAAACAATGCATGGCCTTCAGTTGCCAGCCTGTTAATTTTCAAATTTCTTTTGACATTTTTACTGCTTGAAGTGGTAATGTTTCTTCACTTATCTGACTTGACTTGACACCGTGATTTTCACCTAATTGTCCTAAGGAGTCTGTTTGCCTGCATTTTACAAGGTCGCCTGCTAAGCTTTCTTATCACTGTAAGCATATCTCAATACCACATTCCTTCCTTCTAAACAATGTAACTGCAAAAACAACATTTCTATTCCCATAATGTTAAT